TTGTAACTATAAAAAAAAATTATTAAAAGCCAAGTTTATAAGTTTGTATAAAAAAATTCATTATTGAACATTACATAAAAAATATTTAAAATTGTTAAATAGATTTGAAATAGATATTAAATACATATTAAATAGATATTAAATAGAAATAGATATTAAATAAATATATTTTAAATTATTAAATAGAATTTTTAGTGCAAAAATGAAAATAAAATAATCTCCAATAGCCTCTATATATTATTGTGCGTTATTTAAGATACATCCTGTATAATTGCTAAATTATAATTGTCCGTAAACAAATCTTCAAATGAAAATAAAATATTATAACTTATACCATATCTTACAGTTACTTTAAGATTCTTGATAAGTTATCTTTGATTATTGTCTTTGATATTATATCTAGATCTGTGGGCTAGATCTTTTTCTTTAGAAGCAAATTAAAAAAAAGGAATTATTCTCATATACATATACAGTCATTTAAAGTGCTTTATTTTGCTAGGTACTGAATCTATCTGATAGTAAATATCCTCAGCGTTTAATGTATTCTAATTCTATATATACAGGAGACATCACGTGAATCATTTTAACACGAAAGGGAATCGAATCTGGATTCCTCAGTATTTCGTGTGAGTATCCTAAGCCTTTAGACCATCGAGACTTTAGTTTTTCGCAATAATGGATATATAAGGAAATAACGCATATTTAACGCATATTTAACGATTTATTAGAACTGTTTAGTGAATACACAACGAACGATGCTGAGGGATCCGGAATTGACTCTTGGTCAAAGTAATATTTTTCACAATAAAATTTATTTACAAATCTCCAGTATATTAAGATCTATTTCTCCAAAGGCTATTGAGCATAAAATATTATCAATCAATTATTATTAGTTCAAAATTTCATTCTCTTTCACTTCCTGAAATATTAATCAAGAGTTATGGATTACCGTGTGTGTGTGTGTGTGTGTGTGTGTGTGTGTGTGTGTGTGTGTGTGCGCGTGCGTGCGTGGTGTGTGCGTGCGCGCGCGCGCGCGCGCGCGTGTGTGTGTGTGTGTGTGTATATAATCTAACATATATATGTATATTAGATTAACATGGAAGATTTAGAAGACTTTTTGGAATTTATGGATGTGACAGAAGTTGCATGTATAAAAACACCTAAGCGTTACATTCGAGATTTTGCAAACCCTTTTGAATTTTTCTCTGCAAAAGCACGTTGTTTAAACAACGTTTCAAATTTAGTAAAAAAGTGATATTATATATTGTCAATTATTGAAGAGAATTTAACAAAATATAGTAATAGAGGTTTACTACTTGTGAGGTACTACTTGTTTTACAACTTCTTATGGCTTTTCGATTTTATGCTACTGACAATTATCAAGTGAATAAAAAAATTATCAAGACAAGCACTAATTAAATTTTATTTAGATTTAATTATTTTTAATTATAAATATTTTTAATTATAAATATTAGGTTGTTACAGACAATTTAAAAAAAAATGACGATTTAAAAAGTTTTTCGTAACTTACTGTATGCAGATGTGTTAAAGCAGTGTCGATAGCAAAGAAACTCCATGAATACGTACAATTCCCTAAAACTATAGAGAGTCGCAGCAGCATCAGAAATTATTATAAAAAAATAAAAAAAATAAAAAAAAAGAAATAGCTAGATTTCTAAATGTTGCTGCTTGCATTAACGGAACTCTGATAAAAATTGCCAGTCCTGACAAAGAAATTGGAAAAATTTTTCGCAGTAGAAAAGGCTTATTTTCTTCAAATATACTGATGATTTTATACAATTATTTAAATTGCACATGAAAAATATTGTTATGCATTGTATATTTTTATATGTTTAGGCTGCCGCAGGACCAAGAGGAGAAATTTTCTGTATTGATATTAGGCACCTGGGAAGCACCCATGATACTTGTTTTGATCGCAATGCTTTAAAACCATTTTTCATAGAGACTAGGATAAAAGATATAAAATATAAAATATTTTTTATAAAAAAGTAAAACTTTAAAGCGAAGCGAACGTAAAACAGAAATATAATTATTATTCCTTTTGTATTTTGTAGGTCTTTTAGGTGATAATGGATGTGGTTGTCATCCATATTTACTTACACCTGTTTTACAACCACTTAACTAGGTAGAACATAATTATAACAAAAGTCATAAAAAAATAAGAAATCATATAGAAAGGACACATGGTCGTTGGAAAAAAAAATTTTCTTGTTTAGAGGACTTTTAAATAAGTTACTTCTATTGCTATCATTTGTGCTACAGCAGTTCTGGAACTTATATATCCACATCAATTGCTCAAATGAAAATGTTTTAGTCAATGAAGTAGAGCAGATAATGCAATATTTAGATGCTG